TCGGGTGAGACCGGGATCGGACCGAGGCATTATAAGCTCGGGTTTCGATCATGTAGGCCTGTCGCATTTGGCGCGGGCTGAGGAAAGTGTGAATGTGAGATCGAACCGAGGCGTGTGATGCTCGGGGCGCGATCGAGTGTGAATGTGGGATCGGACCGATGCGTGTGATTCTCGGGGCGCGATCGAGTGTGAATGTGGGATCGGACCGAGGCGTGTGATGCTCGGGGCGCGATCGAGTGTGAATGTGGGATCGGACCGAGGCGTGTGATGCTCGGGGTGCAATCGAGAGGCCTGAGGTGTGTACGGGTACGCGGGCCGAAAGTGTGGTGATGAATAGTCGCAGTGTGCCTGAGGAGTGTACTTCAACGCGGGTCGCTGGCGAGTGATGTGGAAAAGAGGAAATGAGAACGGAATGAGTATGTGGGATGAGAATGGTACATGCACATGTTTGCATATGACGTGATGATGACTGAATGCGGGTGTGCGCATGATTTTGCCTGATAGTATTATTTGATGTGCCTGCGATGTGATGACTTGATGTGCACGAATGTGCGTGTTTGTGTGTTTGTCTGGAGGTACATGATAGCCTAGGTAGGGTTTAGGTTGCAACTTATTGAGAAGTGTCTCATGGTTGTATAAACCAAACCATTTCAGATAACCCGCCTGAACAAGGAATCAATCACCACCGCCACCGTCAGAATGTTTTGGTACAGTCATGCACATCGAGCGTAATTTCGTGGAGTACACCCTGAATGGATGCCGTACCAAGGACGCAAGGACTGGTGAGGAGGCGATGAGCAAGTGTTCGTGTAGTACCGCTTTTGGTAGATAAGGAATTTGCCTCTTTTGATGTATGGTTTTTAAGGTAATCGCAGTGGATGTGCATGTAAAATTTATGGACCCAGAAACATCGGGAAGGTGTAAGTATGTTCATATGTGGATAATGTAAGGTTTGTAAGTGTTGGCGGTTGGTCGTGCAAGTTTAATTCTGGTGTTCTCCAATTTATTGTCCGGGTTTAATTATTTGTTTCCGCTACGATTGACTCTGATGCGAGACCGTTGAGTCGGCGACGTATTCCTGGGATGTCGCACTGTTCGACTCATGAAAGTGAGGTGTGGAAAGCATTAGACTTGAGTCTGGGCGTGACAGCCCCTACTAGCACGCTCAAATGGGTCATCCCCAACAAAGCAAAGTTCGCTCTTTGATTCGTTCAAACAATTTGCCATGTTCTACATTTGATTTCAGCAAATGTGCTTCCTGTTTGTTAGGCAAATCTCATAAAACACCCCTACCCCCCACTCATAGTATTAGTAAAGCACCTCTCGATTTAATTTTTACTGATGTATGGGGACCGGCTCCAATTAATTCTATTTCCAGTTATAAGTATTTTGTTCTATTTGTTGATGATTTTTCCAAATATACCTGGTACTATCCTATTCAAAATCGATCTATGGTTCCTTCCATTTTCAAAAAGTTCAAAATCATGGCTGAGAAACAATTTGAAAAATCCATCAAAGCCGTCCAGTCTGATTAGGGTGGCGAATACAAAACCCTAAATAAATTTTTTTATCAAACCATGGAATTCTCCATCGTGTAGTTTGTCCATACACTCACGAGCAGAACGGAGCAGCTGAGCGAAAAATTCGCCATATTGTTGATACCGGCCTTACATTATTGGCACATGCATCTCTCCCACTTCAATATTGGCCTTATGCTTTTGAAACTACAATTTACCTTATTAACAGATTACCTACACCACTCTTAAATAATATCTCACCTTTTCAAACACTTTTTCATCAAGAACCAGATTACAAGTTTTTAAAAATATTTGGTTGTGCTGTTTTCCCTTTATTAAGGCCATACAATTCGCATAAGTTTTCACTCCGTTCTACTCAATGTGTGGTCTTAGGATATAGTCCATTGCATGTTGGTTATCATTGTTTAGATTACAAAACTAGATGTATGTATATTGCAAGACATGCTCATTTTATTGAAAATATTTTTCCATTCGCCACACTTGGTTCCCACCCTTCTAAAATACCCTCACCATCACATCCTTGGTTGACAATCTCCACAGCTGGTATGTCCTCCCAGGCAAACCATGGTGTTAATGGTAATATTCTACCTCCTACCCTACCCTCTAACACTTCTCCACCCACCTTTCAAGAACCATCACCGACATTATCAAATACTAATACTGCTTCAACATCTAACACGTTGGTTTCTAGTCCGTCTAATGCTGGTGCAGGTTCTAATGAGGCTCTTTCATATGCCTCCTCACAACAAGCTGTTGTGATACCTCCACAACCGGTTTATAAAAAATCAAGAACCCATTCGATGCAGCTGCGTAAAAACCCGAGGCCCAGCACTAAATATCCATTGCCAGATGTGAACTTGACTGAAATAATCTCTAAGGAAGAGCCACGATGTTTCACCGAAGCTAATAAAGATGAAAAATGGAGGGATGCGATGCTTCAAGAATTCAATGCTTTGTTGCGTAATGGAACATGGGTTTTGGTTCCACCGAATCCCAAAGCAAATGTCGTGGGCTCCAAATGGGTTTATCGAGTCAAGACACATGCAGATGGTTCGATAGATCGGTACAAAGCCCGCCTCATGGCCAAGGGCTACAATCAGCATGAGGGTATCAACTACACAGAAACGTTTAGTCCCGTTGTTAAAGCAACCACCATCCGTACAGTTATTTCATTAGCTGTGACAAAGAATTGGAAACTTCGGTAGTTGGATGTTAGCAATGCATTTTAAAATGGTAATTTGACTGAAGAAGTCTACATGGCTCAGCCCCAGGGCTTCATTGATAAAGAAAGGCCAGACCATATATGCAAGCTACAAAAATCCTTATACGGATTGAAACAAGCACCGCGAGCTTGGTTCCATCGGTTGAGCATCTTTTTAGAATCACTGGGATTTATTGGATAAAAAACCGATACTTCCCTCTTTATACTACATCGGCCCAATTTCTCCATTTACATGCTCATCTATGTTGACGACATTGTTATTACAGGGTCCAACGCGGCATTTATTCAAGACACTATCAACTGCAGTTCTCTATAAGGGACTTGGGCGAACTTAATTATTTCCTGGGAATTGAGGTGATCAAACATCCATCAGGGCTCCTCCTATCACAACAGAAGTATGTGACAGATCTCCTACGCCGAACCAGAATAGACGGTGTTAAACCGGTTCACACTCCCATGGCTACAAATACCAATTTAATTAATCAGGGTAAGCCACTTGAAGATACTACTTTGTATAGGAGTACAGTAGGAGCTCTTCAGTATGTCACTCTAACTCGACCAGATATCTCTTATGCGGTAAACAAAGTTTGCCAGTTCTTGAAAGAACCAACAGAAGACCACTAGAGTGCGGTAAAGCGGATCCTACGCTACTTAAAGGAAACCGTTTCGCATGGATTGTTCATCAGTTCCCACTCCACCACAGAACTCCACGCATACAGTGATGTAGACTGGGCCGGTTGTCCCACTGATAGGCGCTCAACAAGAGGTTATGCAATTTATATGGGTCAAAATCTAATTTCTTGGTCAGCCAAAAAGCAGCATACCATTGCACGTTCCTCAACCGAATCTGAGTATCGGGCATTGGTAAATGCCACGACAGAAGTGGTATGGTTGTAATCACTGTTACAAGAATTGGGCATCTCTCAATCAAAACCTCCTATCCTTTGGTGCGACAACCTAGGGGCAACGTATCTTACGGTTAATCCACTTTTTCATGCTAGAACAAAGCATATCGAGGTAGACTTTCACTTCGTCCACCATTTAGTGTCACAACGCAAACTTGAGGTTCGCTTCATATCCACACGTGACCAAATAGCGGATATCTTCACCAAGCCTCTTACAAGGTGTCGTCATGATATGCTCATATCCAAGTTGAAGATCATCAAGAAGACCACCTTCAACTTGCGGGGGCCTGTTAAGGATAATAATGCATGACTCGTTCAAATTCAAAATATTTTGAATTAGTCCATTCTTATCTCAATTAGTTATTACTGTAACAGATGTAGTTATTACTCTAGTTACTTCTGTAACTGACTAATTCAAAATTCAAAATATTTTGAATTAGTCCATTATTATCTCACGTAATTGCTGTAACAGTTAGAAGAAAAACTCTATAAATACAAATGCTATCCTAGAGTTAAAGGATAAGCAAAACTCAAGCTCAAACTTCGAGTATAATTCTTACAGAGATGAACAAGAAAAGTTAAAATTCAATAATGAGAAGTCGATTAGATTAAAGTTATCCGTTTTATCTTTTTAAATCTTTTTTGGAAAAAGTCAGCTGAGGAAGGGGCTAAACTTGTTAACGCTATATCGTTATCCCCATGAGCGGACCTAGGACTCGGTCCAAAAAATTAAGTCATTGGACAGTGACCCAAGCCGGCCCAACTCCGGGTCGACAACAATGGACGAGACACTTGTGCTAGTTTATTCATGTATCCATTTAGTTGGATAGTTGGAGCTCAAAGACCTACTTTGCTCTCAATTACGCATATTTTCAAGGTAATGGCATTGAATCTTACCTGAGGGATCTGCATCAGTTCACTAGTGAATTCCAGTTCTTCCATTCGACCATTTACAAACACACTACTCATGTATAAGGCAACTCTTGCAGCTTTGCTTTTTTAGTAGAATTTTGGAATTTGAAGATACTTTGCATAATTCACTGAACATTTTTCTGTTCCACTTTGACCTATGTTCTCTATAAAAGATAGTGTATGATACGTTACAATCCACAATCTACTACAGGCCTGCAACTTCAAAGATTTTAGTATTGATTCTTCAGGACACATTTCCTTAGCAGATTAATTTATTAACAACGCTGAATGGGTTAATTCTTCATGGGCAAACAAAAGCTATGCACACTGGAAGATGGAAAAGATATATGTAGAGGTTGATGGCACTTTCTTCATTTTTTCTATTTTTTGCTTCTTTTTTCTTAAAGTTGTGTGATTGGCAGATCTTATTATTCATCTTTTCAATTCAACTAATACGCAATTACACCAAGAAACAAGAAGAGAAGGCATTACAAAAAAGGCTTCATATATGAAATGACATATCAAGCTGGTCAGGTAACGTCTTTATTAATTGAATTTACATAACACAATCTAAAGAAACAGCTCCTCAACAATTTCATTGTCCATGAAATTTGATGTCCTTTTGCTTTTGTTTCTCCATCCACTCAGCTACTCTACCCTCCAGCATTCTCATACCTCGCACGAGCCATTTGGGCTTTTCTGTTTCAAATGCGATGAATGCTATGGAAATCCCAATTATGATTCCAGATGCATAACCCATCCACATTATCTTTTGTTCGAACCAACTATGATGCCCTTTGCAATTGAAAGACAAGGACGATGGTGGAGGACGTTGAGCATTGCCAGGGCATGCTTTTTGCAACGGAGTTCCACATAAGCCTGGATTATCACTAAACCAATCGCTTGAAAATGTGCTCAAGTGCTTGTCTTGTGGAATTTGACCAGTGAGTTGATTCTTCGAGAGGTCCAAGTATCCAAGGGATGCCAAATCTCCCAGTACTCTAGGAATTTCCCCACTAAGCTTGTTCGAAGAAAGATCAAGCCATTCAAGATCAGTCAAGCTCCCTAGAGTTGGAGGGATGGAACCTGTAAGATGGTTGTGTGAAAGGTTGAGCCCTTTGAGATAGTGGAGATGTCCAAAGACTCTAGGAATATTTCCTTGGAAAGAATTGCGCGACAAGTCGATGGTTGTGAAGATGGTCAAGATCTTCACTAGCTTAATCTCCAGCCCTTTCAACGTCACGGTCACAGAGTTTTCATATGAACTCCCTTGGAAAGACCGGGTCATATATAGTGATTTTTCTTGCCCATTTTCGCCATTCATCATGCCTTTCAGGTTCATTATCAAGTTGGCTCGCAAAGGACCCCCAAAATTGTTTTTGGAGAGATCCAAAATGCGTAACTTGGGAAAGAGGTCAACTCCATCTGGAATATCTAAAAGACCCTTAAAATTGTTGGACCTTAAAATGAGAACTTTTAACTCTGGAAGTGTTCCTAACCATCTCGGAAATGTATCCTCTATCTGATTGCTACTGATATCCAGAACTTCTAGATATTTACATTCGACAAGGGATTGCGGCAAAGTGCCCACAAACTGATTTTGACTAAAGTCAAGAGTCACCAAGCTATTTCTTGAAGAAAATGATTGAGGAATTATGCCATCAAGGTGATTCATCCGTAAGTTCAAAACTGACAGATCGGTACTGAAGTTTGTTAAGCATTGTGGCAAGGCACCTGTCAAGCCGTTGTCAGACAAGTCGATGATCTCAAGCTTGCTGGCATTGCATAACAAAGAAGGGATCTTTCCCGATATATTATTACTTGCAACTGAATAATAAAAAGTCACGGGAGATGGAAGTGGAATTGGCCCTCCAAACTTATTGTTGGACAAATTGATTACACCCAATGAGGTGTTTGAGAAGATATCATTGAATTCATTGTGACTGAGAAATAATGATGATGAGTTCACGCATTTGACTTGGGAGTGCGGTAATGGCCCTTGTAATTTATTGTTGCTCAAGTCTAGATACTCAAGATCGGTCATATTATCAAAACATGGTGGCATATTCCCAGAGAGATTATTGTTAGACAAATTTAAATAAAAGAGTGAACTCAACTGGCAAATCAAAGATGGAATCTCACCAATGAAACCATTGTTGGAGACCGAAAAGTAATAAGTAGAAGGTGGAGGGATTGGGAGTGGTCCTTGGAATGAGTTGTTAGGAAGATTCATATACTGCAATTTCTTCCAGTACAATTGTGGTATACCTCCCTCCAGAAGGTTATTAGAAAGATCTAAGGATTCCAATGTATCATGGCTTATTCCCCAGAACCACCTTGGGATCTCCCCACTAATCCTATTGGAAGAGAGGTCTAAAAATATTAATCTTTCTAATGAACTCAAGAAATGAGGGAACTTGGTCAAGTTACAAGAACACAACCACAGCCGTTCAAGCTTCGGAAATGTATAGTTCAGTCTATCATGGGTTAGATTTAGTTCCGCAGAAACATAAAGCACCTGTAGATTTTTAAGCTTTGTAAAGATTTCAAACTCTATAACCCCACCAAAGTTATTCCCGTCAAGATATAGGATTTGGAGTTGTTTGAGATTAGCCAATGACGAAGGGACGTGTCCTGTGAATTTGCACCATCCAAGATCTAAATATCTTAGACTCTTCATGTTACCAATTGAATTGGGTATTTCTCCTGAAAAGCTTGTAAGGAAGAGAGACAAGTGCACAAGAGGACCGGTCCAATTGGATTTGGGAAGAATCCCAGACATGTCTTTATTCAAACTCAATTCGAGAGTAGTTAGGCTCGGGAATCGAAAAATAGTAACTGGGAATATCCCCCTTAAGGAACAATCACGAACCCCTAAATGTGTCAAAGAAGAAGACAAATTCACAAAGGACTTTGCTGAAACCATGGACATGTTTATACCATCAAGAACAAGCCTTCTCACTACCGTTAGATTCTGAGCAAGCATTGTGAAGATCGGATTTTCCAACCTGAGAGAAGAGAGCCCATTTGATTCAATTAAACGGTTAGAGAGATCAAGTGACACTAGCTTGGACAGGTGAGAGATTTCACTAGGAACAGTACCCGAAAAGAGTGAAGTAGAGAGATTCAGATGAGTCATTCTTACAAATACACTCAGATTTGGCGAAATGCGTGAGCCAGTAAAATTATTACCAAAAAGGTTGAGGTTCTGAAGATGGCGAAGGAGAAACAGGGAGTTATTGGAATGGAGAGCGCCACGAAGCCAACTGCAAGTAAGATCGAGACCGATGACGTAATCAGTGACATCATCGCAAGTCACACCGTCCCACGAGCAGCAGTCCACACTCTTGTTCCATGACTTTGTCTTTGGATAAGAAGAATTATCCAAACGATAAGAGTAAGAGTCCGAGGCCATGCTATCAAGCACGAAGGAATCCTTAAAATGGAGCAAGGCATCGCGTTGGTCTAGAGGGCAAAGGGGCGAGACAAAGGGAAGGGAGGAATGTAAGACAAAGAGAAAACAGAGTAGGCCAAGGAATTGATGCGAGCCCATCTTGCAATTTAGCGTGCGAGTGAGTTAAGTGGTGGTGGAGAGTGCTTCCACTTATATAGCCCTTCTCAAGTGTGAAGTCATCGACACAAGTCTTCTCACATGTGTTAACCATTCTAAAAGCTCTGTTGGTCAGAGTACGAGTAATTTCATGATATTTTACAGTTCCTAATCATTGCACGTGGAGCAATGGTAAAGTATTGGATTAATTTGACATCAACGTTTAATATGCGAGATCAATATGTTGTGTTCAACCACGCAACCTTTCAGACCTCTTTCTTTTTTTTAAAAAAATTTTCAAATCTAGAATTACAAGGTTTTATGAGCCACAAAAGGAAACAGAATTTAAAATGAGTTGTTCTACTTATGAAGAAAGGCTGCCTAATTAAAAATCCTTAACAATGTGAAAGCCTCCAGTAATTTCGTCAAATATAAGAGCGAATAAAAATCCTAGAAAGGTTATTTGACACTTCACTCAAAAAACAATTTTTATATATATTATTTGGATCACGTTTAAACATTTATAATTCAAAAGTAATTGAGATTTATATTCTTAAAGTTAATTATTGCAGAATTTAAGATAAAGTGATAAACTACCTTTAAGTTTAATAAAGGGCTCGCCAAATATTATATGGACGTTGGGCGAAGAAATAGGAATTTTTTTGCACAAGGTATGTAGCTGAGATATCCACTGTTACCACTTCAGCGCCTTCGCATTGGCATAATCGGAGATTTTGCAAGAATTGCAGGTTTGGATTATCTGTAGAATGATTGCAAGCCAAAACATTGATTTTGGCAGAATTGGAAGGACTCCGTGGCAATTGAATTGACATCTAAATTTATTTATTTTTTAATTAATGATTGTCTTGTGAACTCAATTGTGCTGGACTTGGCGGGATATGAAGAGCAGGAATCAGATCATTATCGCACTCCCAACATGAACTGACTCTTGATGACCCACGCTCTCATATTCCAAGTCAAAAAGTCTGTTTTCACATGGCAAAAATATTGTCCAACGCACTTTGTTCTATCGTACGACGTCCTAATACGGGGGTAAAAGGGGCTTTAGAGGCATTACTAGATAGATGCACTCGGGTGGCCTCCATTATTGATGAGCAAAATGTCTGATTAGTCACAAAAAGGAAATAGAATTTAACCAGAGTTGTTCTACTAATGAAGAAAGACTGCCTAATTAACAACCCATAGCCATACCCATGTGAAAGCCTCAGGTAATTACCGTCAAATATAAGAGCAATTAACAGCCTAAAAAAGTTATTTGACACTTAACTCGCACATATAATTTAACATTGAGAAATATTAACTCAAGTACTCTTGTATTATACATGTCTAGACGTGATCTAAACAATATAAAGGGGTCAATCATCCCTAGAGCGCGCTTGTCGATGCCCCATGACAAGTAAGGTTTTTAGTTGGATCACTAGTCGTCTCATCTTCCCGGTCGTCTTTTCTTTTCCAAACCTCAAAATTTTTTATTGATTCTCTTCAAATGAAGTTTTTGTCGACTCCATCTTCATACTTTCTTTAAGAGGGTGTTTTTATTTTTTAAATGAGGATCTCTCTCTACACAAACAAAGAGCGAGTTAGGTTTGGCAACTATGTATATTTTTTTCCTTTTAAACAGCAGGTTTCCATGAGCAGTGCAGTCAATGATAATTTTTTCTCCGTATAAATAGCTCTTTTCAAGGTGGATACTTTTCGGACCATAAAAGAGAGAGAGAGAGAGAGAGAGAAGTTAGATACTTTCTGTATTATCCTTCCAGTTTTTTGACCAGTCATTTTTCTTTCCATTTATCAGGGCAAACATGAGCAGCATATGAATGTTAATCTTATGTATCTGATAGTTTATATATTAAGATTCTCAAGATGAATTGAGGATTAGCATGTCTAGAATCCTCACGTGATTGATTATTTTGGTTTCATTTAGTCCAGATAATTTTTTTTTTTGGGCTTTGGCTTGAAGTTTTGAAAATTTTCTCATTCATGTTATTTTGAATAAAATAGTTTGGCAACGTTACTTTAAAAAGTCCTCTATAGTCTTCGGATGTATTGGGTCCGTGCTTATGCGAGTAAGAGCTTCATTTTGCTCATCCATTGTGATGGGAGAGTGTGGCTTTTTTTCTTTTATAGGTATATCTTAGTCCGGTGATGATATAGTCACATGTTGTGCATGCCTTTCTGTTGTAAACTTTGAATGTAAAATATGCTCCGTTTGTTATATGGAAAATGAATGATTTGGAAAACATTTTCCTAAATATACAATGCAGCGCAACTACAATTATAGCAGACATATTTCCGCTTTAATTAGTTGAATTCAAAATTAAAGTGACCCTAGCATATCGCTAAATATACACAACATAAATTCACTTGAATACTAAGTTACTAGTTTATGTCAAGTCAAATCCTCCTATGTATCCACTAGCATTTGACAAATGAATGTTAAACGTCATAACCGTCACGACGAAAGAATTCAGTGGAGGATGTAAGGACATAGCTTAGGGGAGGCACATAAAGTAAACTCCAACACCTAGCTCAGAGGGCGAGATATGAAAATTTTATGCGATGATTTCATCCATCATGATGTAAATCCGATAGAAGTCTGACCAAAACAACAAGCGGCCTAGAGGAGCGGCGGTCCTTGTCCCCGTCACCAAAGATTAGGATTAGCAGTTATGGAATCACCTCGCGTTATAACCTCAAAACCTCTATATCGGCATTTCCGGGAGCTTTCTTTTTCCTTCCACCACAGATTCTAGTCTAGTTTCAAACTTGAGGCAAAATCAAAATGTTCCGAACTGGCGGCCTGCATAAAGTCCTTGTGGAAAGGCCCGCGTAATTGCTTGGGAGACCGAGAATTTGATGCCACCCCATTTTGCACTTCAGCATGTAAGTGAGTTTATTGGTGGTAGGGATAGCGATTCATCATCGACTTAGATGGACTTCCAACACAAGTCTTCCTCTGAAAGGTCTGTTGGTGGGCTCGCAGACTTCCAACTTCTTCTCCCATCATCTCCCATAAGATTACTTTAACTTACCCTCCGGGTTGGGAGTTAAACCAAGATCAATCTCGTTTTATGACTTGATTGCATTTTTTAAAGTTTTAGGACTCAATTGCACTTTCACGACAAGTTTTAGGACCTTTTGTGCAGTTTTCCCATTCTTATATAAACAAGTGAAGCTTGACCATTTAAATAACTAGTAACTTCTTCTCATCAATTAGTAACTTTTAATATAGAACGCTAACGTGTTTCATGTGGCTAATAGCTTATTCATCCAACTAGTCATATTTACCAACTGATTAGCAATTTTTACATACGCTAAAGTAACTCAAACTATGTCTATATATGTCAACAATTTCATATACGAATGAAATCTGTATAATTACTCACACCATCCTAGAATAATCCTGGATGGTCGATTTTTTCTGCTCAAGAGACGATGGGGTTATTCATGATGGACCTCACTGTGGGGAACCGACATATAGGTTTTCCTTGTTCCAAGTCTAAATCTCGAGAGCCATAAAAGTCGTAAAACTTCGATATCAACTTAGTCTATCAGAGATATGGTGAACACAACCTTGCAGAAACCGCATGACAACCGTGCTTCTAGTGGTGTCCAGCATGGGTCACACAAGTTCTTAAATCTATTGGCTTGATTTAGTAGATCAATGCTCCGTTTGGTTCGTGAAAAATGAATAAAAACGACCGCTTGTATCGCTTGAAATAATTAGTCAATGCACAATATTTTCATCATCGACAATAATTTATGTTTAAATATTTTCATGAATGATAAAAATCTTATACAAATAATCTTTTTTAAAAAATATTTTTCGAATAATTCATTTTCAGCCGAACTAACCACCCTAATAAGTCTATGCAACGCTTGTTCCAAGTCTTTGCAAAAGTCAATGGTGGGTAGTGACGGAGAACGATGATGATAGATGAGCCAAGCATGAATCATGATCTTTTGTTCGAAGTCCTTAAGAGACTCGACTCTCGGGCATGATTGTGGACAGTGAAGGAGCTAATTCAGAAGAAGAAAATAACTAAAATTTGGAACATGTAGAGAGGAAATTGCTAAAATTTCAAAAAAATTTCCTCCCGTCTAATACAAGTTTTGAATTTTCAACTTTCCTTCCTCTGAGAGATTCCCTTTGACGAGGCCAACAAAGCGTAGGACCACGAGAGAGAGAGAGAGAGAGAGAGAGAGAGAGAGAGAGAGAGAGAGAGAGAGAGAGAGAGAGAGAGAGAGAGAGAGAGAGAGAGAGAGAGAGAGGGGGGTCCGGTGATTAATTGGAATAAATGATCATCTTTGATATTTCCTCGAGAGGTCACCTCATTAGAGTGATCCATGAATAAGATTGAATAGGTTAATTTCCATGACAATGAAATGCTTACGAACATTCAACTATTCAAAAATTAAAATTTGAATTACAACCATTAAAAATTTCAAATTTGTACATCATGATACATTTACTCCAAACGAATTTTCGTCTCACAAAAAAAATCAAACCGATAGCATTCATCCAAATTTACTCTCCTTCGTTAGAATTCCATCAAATATCGTGCTAAAATGCATGTGTCAACACAAGGCCATGTGTCAAACATTTATCCTGTAGGTTTTCAATCTCCAAAGCCCAAAATCAAACTTGCTCATATCCACTACAGCCCAATGCCCCATCTGGAACACATAGCTTTATCAGCGTAAGTCAAAAACAAATGCTTTTCCTGCAACACAGCTTGAATTCGAACTCTGACTGAGAAAACAACCCACTTGATAACTCGAACAATCTGAGGAACAACATGATCTTGCAACACATCATTTCTCTCCCTCCAAATATGATGGATAACCCCATTCCAAGCAAGCTTTAGCACAGTTTTAAGCAGAGATTTCCCCTTAGCAGTTCGAAGTATACATTCAAACTCAAAATATCAAGCACCACAGTTCTATGAAACCCAGCAGCTCCAGAAGATGATTCCATAGTCCATACAGC